TAACAAGTGCCTTACTAGTAGTAACAAGTGCATCGCTTGTAGTAACAGGTGCCTTACTAGTAGGAACAAGTGCATCGCTTCTAGTAACAAGTGCCTTACTAGTAGGAACAAGTGCATCGCTTCTAGTAACAAGTGCCTTACTAGTAGTAACAAGTGCATCGCTTCTAGTAACAAGTGCCTTACTAGTAGTAACAAGTGCCTTACTAGTAGTAACAAGTGCCTTACTAGTAGTAACAAGTGCCTTACTAATAGTAACAAGTGCATCGCTTCTAGTAACAAGTGCCTTACTAGTAGTAACAAGTGCCTTACTAGTAGTAACAAGTGCCTTACTAGTAGTAACAAGAAGCTATCCAACTCTGGACGCTTCGGAAAAGACATAACAAAGTGCCGGAAGCGCCCGGACCTCTCATCCGACCGGATCGCCGTGACGGGCACGACCCCGCACTTACCCCCTTTTACATGCGTTCTTCCAATCACAGCGCCCTCCGCGACGGCGCCGCGACGGCTTCGCGGCACCTCAAACGTCTTCATGGCGCGTCAAATGCGCTGAGGCGGCGAGGACGAGGGCTTCGGTCATGTTGGAGGCTTTGGCTCGAGGGCTTCGCTTTTGCTCGACTTCGGAGTTGGCAAATGTTTGTTGTTCCCCCACTAGAGGTGTTTTTGAACAGGTCAAAAGAGTGTGAAATAGGGAATCGCCAATGACTCTCTCAACGACCAATGATCCTGAAGAAGATGGACCGCTTCGAGATTTGTTTTGTCTACAAATGCAAGGGCCGAGTTGACTCCTTAGGCATCTTGGCAAGTCCATCAGCAGAAACTGCTCCACATTGCGCGTTGTTGTCACATCCACATTCGGATGTACGGCTTTCGCAACAAGAAGACACCAATCAACATACTCGGTCAGTCTCACTGACGGCAAGCCTCAGAGCTGTTCCGAATGGGATTCCAACAGTGTTCTTTCGGATTCCGATGCAACCGAGTAGGCATGCTTGCAACCCCGAGCCTCTGGTGCAGGTGATTTGGAGAAAACCTGTTCCCGTTTCAGTTCCCTGCAACTTCCATAGAATAGGGGAAAAAGATGACAACATGTTCTTCCTGCTGCAAAAGGGGATGGCGCACCGCCATTCGCAAACTGTGTTACACAATCTACCGACACTATTGCTAACGCTGCGTCACCTTGCTTACTAGCTATGCCCATGGTGCTCACTGTTTCAGTCTGGGAGCATTCCCGCAAGCTCGACCAACCCACCCTACACCACAGTTGTCTGTGTTGGATACATCTTCTGGGTGGCCATAACATTGGAAACTATTTCTATGAGTTGGCCCTGTGCATTTGCAACAAAGCGTCCACCAAAGTCTCTGGCAGAATCAGGAATGATGCTATTGGGAACCAACGAGGGAACAGGTTCAAGAAGGCCCCTTGATTCTGACCTCGTACTGCAGGAAAATAGAGAGGTCTTGGGTGTGTTGGTCCACTGCGAAACCAGTCGTGCAGCTGTGCAAAGGCTGTGCAAAGGCTGTGCAAAGGCTGTGCAAAGGCTGTGCAAGGCTTCTTGGCTTCTTGAGCCTCAACAGACTGGACGTCGCGCTGAATCCGACAAAGGACATGGGTCCTTGCCCAGCAGTGGATCAACGTGCACATCAAACGGCTGATCCTTGGGCCGAAGTCCTCAGCAAAAACATTGGGCAAAAGTAGAGATTCCTGGAAAGTGGCTTCCTCCTTCACTCCTTCATCGGCAGATCTACTTACATCCGCATCCTTTAACTGAAAACAAACACAGTTAGAAACATCTTAAAGTGGAGGAAGCTTCTTGGAAAGCTAGTAGGTTGGAGGCCATCATCGCTGGTAGGTTGGAGGACATCGCCTTTATATAGGTTGGAGGCCATCCCTAGTGGGTTGGAGGTCATCGCTTTTAGGTTGGAGGACATTGCTTTTGGGTTGGAGGCCATCGCTACTAGGTTGGAGACCATTGCTATTAGCTTGGAGGCCGTCGCTTTTAGGTTGGAGGCCATCGCTTTTGGGTTGGAGGCCATCGCTTTTGGGTTGGAGGACATCGCCTTTATATAGGTTGGAGGCCAT